CCAGGCTGGTTTCAAACTCATGGCAAGCCTCTCGCCTTAGCCTCCTAGGTACTTGTATTACACAGCTGTTATCTTATGCAGCTGACAACCAGATTTCTTCATCACAGTGAAACTACTCTATATGGTCTTGGTGGCTTTCTAGCAAGACTTTTTCATCCAAGACTGCTTTATTTAGCTTCTTGTGTTGTAAATTGGTGGTAAAACACCAATTTCTAAATCTAATATGAAAGAGACAAACTAAGTCATGGTAGCATTATTCTAGCCAAAATTGCTTAAAAATCATTAATATCTACCCATATCAGAGAGAGTATAAATTAGAGAACTAGAGCAATACTCCTTACATCAGACTGAAAAGTATATGAGGCATCTGTAATCATATGTTTCCAGCTTGCTGTGCCTGGAGATGTTGTTGAGGGAATTCTCCTTTTATAGAAATGCTTCCCTGCTTGCTAAACTCTCACTACTAGAGACTGAATCCTTGATTTGTTACTTTAGATAAATGTAACAAGTCTTCACATATAATGTATAACTCAAAGGTAGTATCATATACATGTAATCTTCTAAAAATAAACATATTTGTAATTTATTATTATATTAAAAACCTTATAGTGTCTTGAAGAAATAAAAAAAATCATTTATTCCAAATGAAGACTTACAGGTGTTGACTGACAGGGCCAGGACTATAAGCCAAAAAACCATCTCTGTGAGAGAAAAGGCACGGATGTGAGAAGGAGACCTTTAAGGGCAGGTTAATTAGAATTCTTACTCTGATTCTTGTTGTAAGACATGAGGCATTTTCTTAATTTCTTTTAGTTTTTTTTGTTGTTATTTGTAAACATCAAGGCTATCACATAGAAATCATATAGCATAGATATATATATGTATATAAATATAGTTTTAGCTTACATTTCTCTTTAAATCTTTACAAGCTATCTACCTACTGCAAATGTCTGATTTTTTTATTTCTAATCAATATTTATACATTTTCAAGTTTAGAATCAAGGTCACCTCTTATTGAAAATTTCATTTGATGTTATAGCTATTGCTATGGCATCTATACAAACCTCAAAAATCACTTATAAATGTTTCCTGAATACCTCCTGTGGTATTAGGGATCTCTGATAATACTCCAAAATGTAGTAGTGATAGAATTTTGCTCAGCTCTGGACTTCAATTCAGGACTGAAGAAATGGCTTGGCAGTTAACACTTGGTTCTGAGCTTAGTTCTCAGCATCGATATCATGTAGATTTACTGCCTTCTATAACTCTAGCTATAGGGGAGTCTACATTCTCTGCTCACCTCAACAGACACTACACACAAGTGGCAAGCACACACACATACACAAACATACACATGTAAAAATTAAATGAATCTTAAAAATTTTTATTCAAAGGATCTTTTTCATTTAAAAGGGATAGGAACTGACACAAAATTCCCAAATTTTTCATTTCTAGACAAGGGCATAATGACTGCTATTAATTATGATAATTATTTTACAAAAGAAGGGGATTTTAATGCCAGAGTATATAACCTCAAGGTTATGAAACAACTAATAAAGTTGCTTTTATGAAAAAACATCTTCTGGAGCAGGGGTAATAGGCATTGCTTTACATAATTTTTTAATTCAATTAAAAAGTTTTAGATTTGTAGTGCCCATGGTCTAGTAGGAAATATTGAATTAATATAATGAATGAAATACTGAATCTGTGTTTTAGCAATTATTTCTGGTCCATAGAAAACTTACAGCAGGGGGAATACGAGGCAGGACACAGCAATGCTGACACAGTGGCAAGAGGAAGTGTGCATATGTATGAGCTGATAGAATTTTCTTCACAATTTTTGCTGGTACCACCCATTCAGAAGATTTTGTGTACTTATAAGCAAGATTATCTTGCATGGAAACATAAAAGGAGTCAAGACAAGAAGTAAGACAATGAGGCATACATACTGTGGGACGACTATGCTTCAGAGAGATTATCTGTCTGGAAGAACATTCTGTATGCCTTTAATGTTGTTAGAAATTACAGTAAGTACAGATACTCTATGTAGACACCTACGATGGATTTATTACATGTCACACATGGTTCCAGGTTGCTTGTGTTATTTTCTTATTTAATCACTACAACTCCCTGAGATAGACTCAACTCCTCTTCACTTGCAGACACTAGGAAGCTGAAGTATGCAGTCCTTAAGGGATTAACCGTGGCCACAGATTGTCAGAGCTAGAGATAGGTCTCACATGACTGGCCAGCTTTATAGCTCAGCTGAACTCACAGATCCTTTTCTGCCATGCATTTCTCTGATGAGAAGAATTTACTTAATTTGATTTTCATTTTTATACTAGAGAGAAAATCTAAGTGCTTCTTTCTAGTTAGGTTTGTAAAACTGTCTCTTTTTTCCTACTTAAAAGCTATGCAACCATAAACTGACTTTGAGTGAAGTTTAATTTTTCCATCTCTAAATAGTGATAGAAATCCTTCTCTCTGTTTTTAAAAGGATTAAACAAGTAGGGTATGTTAAACAGCTAGCAAGTGGCCAGGATTATAAAGAGGCTTTAACAAATGTTAATTTATTATGGGTCCTAGTAAGATAAAATGACATTTTAAATTAAATATTCAAATAAATCAGCTTCAATATTAGTGGCAGGTTGAGAGCAAACAGATTATTTCTCTGGAGCATAAAGGTGTCTATATTTACAAATACTTCATGGAGCCCTGAGGATTATCTTTGCCATAATCCTCATTTTAATTAAGAGCACAGAGCTAAGATATCTCAGCATAGGAAGGAGTCTGCATAGATGCACATTTTCAGCTTCCAAACTCTTTGTTCCCTGACTAAAGATAAAAGAAACTACTTCAGCAACCTGGTATTGTGAGATAAATAGGAAATGCTTAATCATTTAAAAACACATATGAAAGAACAGAAGGGACAAAGAAGAAGTACATGGCAGCATAAAATCTCCTTTATATTGTCAAAACTGACAAATAACTTCAATTAAATAGACAAGATATAAAACCCAAACAATCCATCTCTATCTGTTATGAGTAGAAATATGTAGGAGATTACACACACACACACACACACACACACGTATATATACACATACATTCTCCTATGCACACACACACATACTTAATCTCTCTCTCTGGATGGGGTTTCTCTGTGTAGTCCTGGCTGTCCTGAAACTCACTCTGTAGATCAGGCTGACCTCTAAATCAGAGATCCTCCTGCCTCTGCCTCAAAATGCTGGGATAAAACGAGTCACCACTAATTGGCTCTTTAATCACATTTTTCGTTAAAAAAAAAGTCAAGGTCAGCCTCCAACTGTATCTAAGCGCACATTTATATATGTTTGAAAATTTTATAATAGGCTGTTATACTGGTCATCTTCAAGTATGTCAGTCTAGAATGAGAATTTGAGGGCGGTCTTATTTTTAATTCTTTGAGTATTTTATTTTATTTATTTTTTTATAATTTATTTTTTCTCAAATCGTAGTTCATTCACACAGGGGTTATAAACACAGAAAGGCAGGATGTGGGGAAGGGAATGACACTGGAGTGTGTGTGTTCAGGGGGAATACAGATATCTTCACAACCGGGTATCGGCTGGGTGAAGGTTCAAGGGACAAGTCACTATGACTCTGCCTGTGACTCGCTTGTCCTTATCTAAGTTGGTATTGTCTGCCAAGGATACCTATTTATAAGGTCTATGACTACTCAGGCTTGTAAATTTCCACAAAAGATGCCTGTTTACATTAGCTTATAGCCATCTGTTTCAATGTTTTTCCACTGAGACATAGGACTTGGTGTTAGCATACATGTATGACAGGCCTATTGCTGATTTTAGGCCTATGGCTGATTTTAGGCCTTCAGTGTGTAAGCAGGGCTGCTCCTGATATCTCCTCCCTTCTCTAAGTATAGAAGGGCTGTGGCAATTCTAAACTTGCGAAGGTGGGGATAGAGGCCTGACCTCCAGTATTTGAAGGGGACCTTGTAATGGCTCCAATCCCCCTGTCGTTGTCCAGTGAGGCATGAGGGCCATACCCATCCCAATGTCTTTTTTCCTGGAGAGGGGATACTTTTGACATCAACCCCTATGCAGTCAGGCTTGTCCCTCAGGGAACCCAGATAGATATTTTTATCTTTTATTTATATTCCCTTGCAGTGCTTAGCCTTGCAGCCTAAGCAAGAATTCAGATCACCTGACAGAGGGGGTTCTGGGTGGCCCCTCTCTGCTTGGTCTAGTGGCAGAAGTCCCTCCTTTTAGGTTGGGTGGAGATGGGTTTTGGAAACACCCTGTATAAAGTAACAACCTCATCTTGAGTCTCATGGTCCTCCATAGCTAACTTATGAAAATGTATCTGAGTGGGTTTTGCTACAAAATTATTTATCTGTTGTATCACAGAGTTAGTCTGCCTATTTGAGGGCCAGGGACCAGCAGAAAAAAGCAAAAAGAACCCAAATAATGGTCCCAAGACGGGAGGAAATAGGGTTGACAACCTTGGAGAGGCTGAAAACCAATTCTTGTACCGGCATTCATCTGTCTCTTTCTCTCTCTGATTTTTCTTAGGGCCTTCACTGACCTATTTCATGCTCTCTTTAACCCTCCTTGTCTTGTCTATGTAAAGGCAACCTTCTTCTTTAAGGGCTGTACACAGTCAAGAGCTGTACACAGCCTTTTCTATTGTACTAGAGTAAATCAAGTCCCATAAGGATGTTTGCGATTTTAGGAGGTCTCTTCAGACAGTGAAACAAGGCATTTCTTCAGATTAGTGATGTCAATCTCTAGCTGTTTGATGTTCTTGTCAGTGGCCCTTCAAAGGTCTGAGTAGTATAAGTTTACACATATATTTACAAGTATTATAAGATTTTTACTTAAAGTAAAACTACAGTGAGCTTGAACTTTAGTTTATCTGCTAAACAACAGCTGACAGTATACAAATGGGACTCTTTTCCTAGAAATTCTCATCAACCCAATTAATCCAGAAACATATCTGACCTGGTGTAGTCATCTTCAACCAGCATGTGCTTTGGAATTGGTGAGTACCTTCCTGGAGAGATGGGTGGCAGGGAAGTTTTGTATTCTAACGTGCCATTGTTACCAGACAGCAGATGATTTTCCATCGGTGGAGAATAAGCTAAGGAATTGAGGAAAGCAAAAGAAATGGAATCAAACCTTTTATGCAGGTGATTTGATGCATTACATTTCAGATGATGAGGTAAAAACACAAAGGCTTTGCTTCATGTGAATTTTTTTTCTTGTTCTCCAATAAGGGCGAGTTGCTGTCCTTTTGCATTTCCCACATATAAGTGCTTGGTGACTTTACACTCGGAAAGATGTAATAACAGTTATATTTGTAACACCAATTAGCATAATTATGTGATAAGAAGAACTGAAGGAGAGACTTGACTGATACACATTTTCAGAACGATGATTAATTTTCTATTGAAACAAAAATGTTATCTTCTAATTGTAGGTCTCATATTCACTTTACGTAATTAATATCAAATTATCAAAAGCAAGAGGCTCACAAGGGATAAATTCTCCTATAAAAAGTTTGCCACAAATATGCTGTATTTAATCACAGGAAGTGTGCAATCTCAAGTATTTTTCTTCCCTAATCCACCTTCTCACTGATGCCTCTTCACAGATAGGTTCCCTGGCTGGTGCTCTCCTCTGCTATTTTCTCACATCTGTTTTGTATGCTAAGGTGAACTCCTGAAATCCAACTTTGCACTTGTTTTTTTTGGCTTAAACATGTTTCACTGTCTCTACTGTTTGGGACGTAATATACATCCTCTTCTTTATCAATTCAATAAACCCATTCCTTATCCATGTTTATAATCCTCAAACAGAGCCTGTGGTTTTGGCATCTGAACCACTGCTTTACTAAATGAGGTATCTACAATTCATTTCTCTGACCCCATCTCAAACGTAAAATTCAGAAGGCATGAAATTTCTCCATTCTTTCAAAGACAGACTGGAAATCTTCCTTTTCTGAATCTCTAAAGGGCATTTAGTTTTATTTACCTGACAGTATGTGTTGCCTCTTATTCCTGCTACATTGTGTTACTATTAACACATCTCAGAAGCTAGCCCGCCAGCTGTGCTGCTGAAGGCAGGCCTTGTATTTCTTCGGCGTCTCACATCTTACTTTACAATGTACAGTGTACATGTTAAATTACTTTAATCAACTAGAAAGTTTTATGTTCTGTCTTTTAAAAAAAGATCTCTACCACTGCATTTACTTGGTCTTACAAAGTGGCTCACAGATCCTCAAATCTGACTCCTCTAAATTTACCAGCTTCAAAAGTCTCTGAAAGTCAAAACTCATTCCTATCCTAAAGTAAGGCTTATCTCAGCTTAGGATCTTCTTTAGGGGAAAAAATGGCCATTTGGAGGACGAGACATTTGAGACCATTATTTCAAAAAGTAAGAGCTAAGGCCATGGGCCTTTAGCTAAGGTTATTCAGCTTTTAAATTTTCCTCAAGAGAAACATCTAATCTAAGAAAGATTCAACAACTTGCTTAAGGTGATAGTATTAATTAACAGTCAGCCCTGAAGGCATCCCGAGTGCACCCGCTCACAACTGAACTCTCAACATTTCCAATCCAGCAAGCCAACTTATGTCAACAAAAAATCCATTAGACTTACATAAAAAGTAAATTCTTTCTAAATTTAGTTCCAGAAGATAGAAGAGCAGGCACGAGGCCTAATTAGCAGTGGATTTGGTGCAGTCCCCAGAATTGTGATTCATGTTGTTGCCCTAGGAGTCCTGTGTCACCCACTGCTACGGATACAATGACTGGTTATTTTCTTGATTCTATAGAGTATAAAATATGCAGTTAGAGATATAAGTTATGATGATGTCTGAAAGTGGAGATTTCATCATGCCGAGGGCCAATACTCTCCTGTAGGAGGAAGGATGCAACTATCTATGACTCATTTTGCTAGCATCTGTTTTTCACCCTGGTGCTACATAGATCTAAAGTAGAACAAGGGATACTGTGGCATGGGACAACTCATGTTCCATGGGATTGAGCAATTATCATCTGGAGTGTTGTAACAACACTATTGTAGTCAGTGTGTTTAAAAAGTATCACTCTGTCTTTCCGTTAATGGTGGACCTGCCAACACATCAAGATGTCCCACCTTCAAAACATGAGCTTAAGTCCTGTAAAACAACATGGAAATGGTGAATAGAATACTTTCCCTGAAGTATTTCCAGAAGTGTAACAAGAGTAAAATTGTAGGCAGAGGTGCAGATGGCTTTGTGGAGTTCCATTTTGTATAGCAGGCAGGCTATCAGAGGATGGCTCCAAGCACAGTACTTACAGTGAGTAATATCCGGTGGCCCATAAGGATCAGTCATATAAATGGTGGTGGGTTTGCCAACTTTTAGATAAACAACATCAGATGTGTTCTTCAATATCGCTACAGCCTCTTCGTGTGTAACTTCTTCTAAACTATAGTTATTTACCTGAAAGGGGAGAAAGATCAATATGAATGTTAAACCTATGAAGTGAAAGAGAACCACTCAGGCAGACAGTATGATATTTGGAAGTATGACCTTATTAAAAATTGGTTACAATGATTAGCTTGGTATATTCAGCATTCTTGATAGAACATACAGTTTAAGTTTTAACCAAAGCAGGATAGGTATAGTCATGAACGCTACGAAACAAGTTAGCTTTGTTCATTTCTCTGACGCAGTGACATGAAATGGCATACAGAATAATAGTTCTAGAAAAAAGTAAATAATCTTTTCAGTATTTGCTATAGTTTTTATGATGAAAATAAAATATATATCAGGCTGGGTATGCAGCTAAGTGATGTAATTAATAATTACTGAGAATATATGAGGGCCTTGGATCAGTTCTCAGCACTAAAAAATACAAACACAAAAAACAATACTTCCAAAAAAGAATGTACAGAAAGCACTGTACAATAATTGAAATAAACTTAAAAAATAAAAATAATCCACAAGCTTTCTACTTTAATATATTTAAGTAAGTGTTACCATGTTGGACACATTATTTTGTATTCTTGAATAAATATCTGGAGTGACTGTCTGTAACATTAACATAATACAGCATTGTGGCTTTTGTTTTTTACTGCTTTAATAAAGAATCTCTTGCTAGACCCTGTTTATCATTGCTAGACAAATGATAAGTGGGATGAGAAAAAATTAGGGAAACTATACCCTTCACAATATAATATAAAATATCTTGATGTTACTCTAACCAAACAAGTGAAAGACCTAAATGACAAAAACTTCAAATTTCTGAAGAAAGAAATTTAAGAAGATATCAGAAGATGGAAAGATCTCCCATGCTCATGGATTGGTAGAATTAACATAGTAAATTTTTGCTCTTAATATGCTGGTACTATAAATAATACCCATAGATGCAGAGGTGGTTCAATATACAAAAAAATCCATCAACATAATCTATCATATAAGCAAACTGAAAGAAAAGAAAATATACAATCATCTCATTAGATGTTGAAAAATCCTTTGACAAAAATTCAACACCTCTTCATGTTAAAAGTCTTGGAGAGATCAAGGATATCAGGTTTATACTTAAACAAAATAAAAGCAATATACAGCAAGCCAAGAGCCAACATCAAATTCAATGGAGAGAAACAATACAATTCCATTAAAATCACAGACAACACAAGGCTGCCAACTCTTTCTGTATCTTTTCAATATAGTACTTGAAGTTCTAGCTAGTGCAATAAGACAACTAAAGGAGATCAAGGGGATACCACTTGGAAAAGAAGAACTCAAACTATTCCTATTTGCAGATGACATCATAGTATACATGATTGATCCCCAAAAAATCTACCAGAGAACTCCTACAGCTGATAAGGAACTTCAGCAAAGTGTCTGGATACAAAATTAACTAAAAAAGAAATCAGTAGCCCTTTTTTATACAAATGATAAGTGGGATGAGAAAAAAATTAGGGAAACAACACCCTTCACAATATAATATAAAATATCTTTTTTTATTCTTTTTTTTAATTCTTTTTTTTTAACATGAACTGCTTTTTTATAGCATGTTTTACAAGGGGAGGGGGTAAGAGGGGCCAGGTGGTGGAAAAGTACAAAATCTTCTTGGCCTGTGCCTTGAAACATGTCATGGTCTATACGGTAACCAAATAAGTGAAAGACCTAAATGACAAAAACTTCAAATTTCTGAAGAAATAAATTTAAGAAGATATCAGAAGATAGAAAGATCTCCCATGCTCATGGATTGGTAGAATTAACATAGTAAAAATGGGCATCTTACCAAAAGTAATTTACAGATTCACTGCAATTCCCTTAAAAATCCAAACATAATTCTTTACAGGCCTTGAAAGATCAATTCTCAAAATCATATGGAAAACCAACCAACCAACCAACCAACCAACCAACCAACCAACCAACCCCAGGATAGCTAAAACAATATTGTATAATTAAGTTCTGGAGGATCCACCATCCCTGATTTCAAGCTGTATTACAGAGCAATAGTGATAAAAACTGTGTATGTATGAACACTTTATTTTTGACAAAGAAGCCAAAACCATACAAGGGAAAAGGGAGTTCATCTTCCCCAATGGTGTTGGTATAACTGGATGTCTGCTTGTAGAAAAATTCAAATAGATCCATATTTATCACCCTGCACAAAACTTAAATCCAAGTGGTTCATAGATCTCAGATATACTAAAACCAGATATGCTAAATTTAATCGAAAAGATAATGGGGAATAGCTTTGAATGCATTAGTACAGGAGACAGTGTCCTGAACAGAACACCAGTAGGTCAGGCACTAAGATCAACAATAAATGAGACCTCATGAAACTGAAAAGTCTCTGTAAGGCAAATGACACCATCAATAGGACAAAACAGCGGTCTACAGAATGGGAAAAGATCTTTACCAACACTAAGTCTGACAGGGCTAATTTCTAAAATATTTGAAGACCCTAAGAAGTTAGACACTACAAATAAACTAAGTAAAAAATGGGGTAAAGACCTTAACAGAGAATTTTCAACATGGGCATCTCTAATGGCTGAGAAACACTTAAAGAAATGTTCAGTGCTGTTAGTCATCTGGGAAATGCAAATTAAAATGACTCTGAGATTCGATATTAACACCCATGGTTAAGATAAAAAGCTTAAGTACATGCTGTTGAGGATAGAAGGATGTGGAGCACAGAGAACACTCCTCTATTGCTGGTGGAAGTGCAAACTTGTGCAACCACTCTGGAAAACAATTTGACAGTTTCTCAGAAATTGGCAATAATTCTACCTGAAGACCCAGCTATACCATTCCTGGGCATAAACCCAAATGATGTCTATCACAAGGACATCTGCTCAACAGCGTTCATAGCAGCTTTATTCATAATAGTCAAAAACTGGAAGCAACCCAAATGTCCATCAAGTGAAGTATTAATAAAGAAAATGTGGTTTATTTACATAATGGAATACTACTCAGTTATTAAAAGCAAGAAATTTACAGTCAAATGTATGGAACTTAAAATATTATCATGAGTAAGATAACCCAGACCTGAAAGGACATGCATGGTATGTATTCACTTACAAGTGGTTATTAGTCATAAAGTACAGAATACCTATGCTACAATCCACAGACCCAAAGAAGGTAAATAACAAGGAGGGCCCAAGGAAGGAAGATTGAATTGCACTCAGAAGGGGAACTATAGAAGTCTTTGGTAGCTGAAGGAGGGAGGTGACTGGGTAGGAGAGAATGGGGTTGGGGATTAGGAATAGCCCAGGAGAGAGGGCCAGGAGAGTGAATGGAAGACATTAAAGACAGGGGTGAGAGGTGACGGGGTGGGGAATAGGATGTGCCAGAGACCTGGGATTGGGGAGTCTCTGAGGAGTCTATGAGGGTTCCAGTTAAGACTCCTAGCATTGGCAGATATGAAGGCTGAAGTGGCCACCTCCTTTAGCTAGTCAGGACTTCCGTTGGAGGTGATAAAGGCAACCCACCAATAAAACATTCGATCCCAAATTTGCCCTGTATACTAGAAGTGCAGTGACAAAGATGAAGCAGAAACTGAAGGAATGGCTAACCAATGACTGGGCCAACTTGAGATCCATCCTATGAATCCATGACAGTATTAATGAGACTCTGTGATCCTTGCAGACAGGAGCCAAGCATAACCGTCCTTCGAGAGGTTTCCCTCAGCAACTGACAGTACCATATGCAGAGATCCACAGCTAAACATTAGACTGAACTCAGGGAGTTTTGTGGAAGAGTTGAGGGAAGGATTGCGGGATCTGGAGGAGATAGGGACTCCATAAGAAGACAAACAGAGCCAACTAGCCTGGATCCTTGGGGGTTCCCAGAGACTAAACCATCAACAAAAGAGCATATATGGACTGGACCTAGGTGTCCTGCTCATATGTGACCTGATGTACAGCTTGGTTTTCATGAGTTTCTCAACAACTGGAGTCAGGGCTGTCCCTGACTCTGCTGCCTGTCTGTGGATTCTGTTCTAACTGAACTGGCTTGCCTGGCTTCAGTGTGAGAGGACATGCCTAGTCCTGCAGTGACTTGGTGTGCCAGGGTGGGTTGGTACCTAGAGGCAGCCTCCAGCTCACCCCTGTTCTTAAAGGAGAAGGAGAGGGAAGGATGGAGGGTGGGGTAAGGGCTCTGTGAAGGGAGACTGGGAGGATAGGGGCGCTGCATTCAGTATGTAAAGAGAATAAATAGATAAATCAATTAATATAGGAAAAATAAATAATGTGACAAACAATCTCTGGGTTTATTTCGCTCGGATTTTTTTGGTGTAACTCATATGCGTGACTTACTAGATGGAATTATTTCATTATTACAATGTTTAATATCTATTCTGAAATCTCCCCCTCTTGTCAGCACTTCATGAGCTCTCTCTCTCTCTCCCTCTCTCTCTCCCTCTCCCTCTCCCTCTCCCTCTCCCTCTCCCTCTCCCTCTCCCTCTCTCTCCCTCCCTCCCTCTCTTTCTTGATCTGTATGTCTGAGAACTGAACCCCAAACCTTGCACATGTTATTCACACTCTCAGTTACTGGGTATACCTTGAGCTATGTTATTTTTTTTAAGGAAAACGCGTTGATGTTGTAACCTAAGGATTCACAGGTGAGCACATTTGAATGAATCACATTTCTGCAAGAATCACCAGCAGTGCATCCCTCCTTATTGTTACAAAGAGAAGCCTTTATCAAGACTTCATGACAGGAACATAACATCATATGTGTGCAGTACTTATTGGTTTTTCATTCAATGCAACCCAAAAGACGTCATCAATGAATAAATGGAGATACATATTCAAAATGTATAATTAGAAATTAGCTTGGGATACAGAGTCAGGTACAAGCAATCCTGAGCAACAGAGCAATCTTTGCTTATTGAAGCAAAATATATATATGATGATGTTTAACCTAAAATTATATACAATAATTTAATGTAGGAAGAGATTAATACTCATACAGTAGAGCAC